ATTTTTAAACGAGTCCTTAATTTAAGGGATAGGAGAGAGAGATGAAAGGGTGGGTTGAAAGCCAACCCTCCTTGAAAATGGAAACCAGTGTCTTGTTGCTTTGCACACAACAAAAATTGAAAAAACAGCTGCGTCCCCGCAAGCCAGTGGGCAGAGAGAGAAAAAGAGTAAACCCAGCAGCTCAACCCGTAAACCCCACCACGCACCCCACTTAAATACCCACCACTCTCTCCCATTTCTTCTCCAAAATCCTAAACCCAAAACCATCACTTCCTCTCTCTAAAATTCCCAACTTTCTCTCTCTAAATACCCAGAAAAGCCCATCTCTCCGTTTTGAAGAAGAAGAAAGCGAAAATGCGGATGAGCTGTAATGGATGCCGAATACTCCGAAAGGGCTGCAGCGAAAATTGCAGCATCCGGCCTTGCCTGCAGTGGATTAAGAGCCCGGAAGCCCAAGCAAACGCCACCGTTTTCCTCGCCAAGTTCTACGGCCGCGCCGGACTCATGAACCTCGTCAACGCCGGCCCCGAACATCTCCGCCCTGGTCAGTTCTCTTTTTCTTTTGCTTTTTTCCGGTTGCATGTACTTTCCGGCATTTTGTTTTTCCCGAGAAACAAACAGAAGACTTGGGACTAATAGCTTTTGGTTTTGGATTTACAGCGATCTTTCGGTCTTTGCTATACGAGGCATGCGGACGGATTGTGAACCCGATTTACGGGTCGGTCGGGTTGTTGTGGTCCGGGAGCTGGCAGCTCTGCCAAGCCGCCGTTGAAGCCGTGCTGAAAGGCCAGCCGATTACGCCGATTACTTCCGAAGCGGCGGCGGACGGGCATGGCCCGCCTCTCAAGGCCTACGACATTCGCCATGTGTCCAAGGACGAGAACTCGGCCGCGTCCAACGATCCTCAGAAGGTTAAGACTCGGTACCGGTTCAAGCGGTCCGTTGTCAAGCCCAAGACCAACAAAGTAGGCTCCGGTTCTGGGTCGGGCTGTGGCTCAGGAGCTGATGACTCGGCCAAGCCGAGTTGTACCGGGTACTGTGGGAACGAGTTTAACCGATCGACGAGTCACGAGTCGTCGCTGAGTCACCAGTCCGAGGTGGCTGCCAACGTGGACGGCGACAGCAAGGAATCGGAGAGCATGATTTCGTCCGAGACGGCTGAGGCTGAACTCTTTTCCCGAGCCGAGCCACAATCGGCTCGCAAGCGGAGGGAGCCGGCTCAGGATGGGGAGCTAGCTTTAGAGCTGACGCTTGGGTTGGAGCCGCCATCACGGGCCCACCACGTCGTTCCGGTGAAGAAGAGAAGAATTGAGGCTGAATTCGGCAGCTTATCATCGGCCGGCGACGGCGCGTGTAAAATGGAGCTGGGGCTCGATTTCGTGGCCTGAGCGGTGGGGAAAAAGTAAAAGTAAAAAATGGTTCAGTTTTGACGACTCAGATCGGCTCGTATGTTTAGCTTTGAAGAGATCAAGACCCTTGCTTTTGTTCAGAGTTGTTTTTAGTTTCGAAGTATCGGTTTTTTACTTTTTTACCCTTTGTGAAGGTGAAATCAGATGTACAAATGCGGTTGGAACCTTGAACTTGCATATACAAGATGGTAAATGAACAGAGGGACAAAATATCAAAATATTTTTTTTTTATTTTTTTATATTTTACTGATAAGAGGATAACGTCTTAACTAAGAATTACGCTTTTATCCAGAGAAGCCTATTACAAGCAATATTTGAAATATCATCGGTAGATATTCTTCAATATTTAATCGATATGTGAATATACGGAAATTTATTGATTTTAGCTTCAAATTAGAAGTTTTTCCAATAGATGGAAATTCAGACTTCCATCTCTTTTGTTTCATATTTTTCTTTAATTTTTTAGATATTTTCACGAAAATATATTGAAGAAAATTTCAAACCGTAGCCGCATGAATACTAGTGTAGTGTTGTAAAGTACAAAAAGGTTGGTTTGTCAGAGAAACGCCATTTCCTTTGGACATGTGGCATTGCGCATGCAAGAGACTTTTGTCTGGTTTTGTGGGGTTGTTTTGCCAAAAATTAAGGATAAGGATTATCTAGTTGCCCTATAAAACAAAAATTAAGGATAAGGATTACCTTAGAATGGACGCTTATCTTTATCTTCTTCCCTTTTAATCTATTATTAGTCAAATTTTGTAGGCTCCCTTATATGTTTCCTTCGAGTTATTTTGAGCGTTGATAGGGAGAAAAATTTGTTTCGTGGGACGTTAGTATGCTCGTCTTATACAAGTTCTCTTAATGTATCTATTTACCTGTTACTATTAGTGTAATTTGGTAAATCTTTTTGTTAATGTCTTTGAGGTGGTTGGGAAATATATGAGGTGAGTTGGCATAGAAGTACTCGGACGGTGAGACTACAATACTCTGGAGCATGGAATATTTTGCAATTTAAAGCCTTAAATCCAAGTCGATGGCTTTTCAATTTCCTTTTACTACAGTGGAAATGGCACTATGGCATTCCACAGTGGATCGAAAAATCGAACGTAATGCTAATAATACAAGTATCAAACTTCTACTGTGGGCCGCAAAATATGAGTGCTACTCTTAGTTTTGAGTTTAATATATGGAACTTACAATTGTGATGCATATACAATATATGATAATCAAGAGAGATAAAGAGATAAACAATTTAATATATAAAAAGTCACTTTATCAACTCATAGAATTCAACTTACAGTGTCTAATCCACGTATATAGGCATCACACTCATTAAACTACTGTGGAAGGCCTAAGAATGGTAAACTTTTGCAAGTTGTGAAGCGTTTTGTTGTGTGTGTTTGTTTGTGTTAAATTATAACACTTCTTGAATTGTTTAATTTTGTACTCTCCTAGTTTGTTTGCCTTTTGGGTTTGCTTTCGTTTAAGAAGCATAATATTTCAAAACTCTGTACGCTTTAAATTTGTTGTATGACACCCCTTGAATTGTTTAATTTCTTTGACAACTATTTTATTGAATTATATGTAGAAAATTTATGGATTTAGTGAAATACCACAATTTTCTTAAGAATTGGCCACTGAACCCAATACAAACGGAGAAAAATGACGGAGGAGGACTAGAGTGCGACAATGATCATACCGGAGGGCTACACAATTTAACCTCAACTGAGGAATCAGAGTATTTTAGGTAACACAGTTATATTTAACCCTGTTCTTTTGTTTGTTTTGTTTTTTTATAAACATCTATGTCTAAACTGTGAAGTGTTTCATGAAAATTATGTGAAAAACGAATACAAGCCGTCTGCACTATGAAAATTCTAGCAAGAAGCTTGGATTGATTTAGCATGGACTTAACTTTGTCCCATGTTTGGTGTAACTTTGGAGTAGAAGGAGGATAGTGCTAAATAATCATTTAAATTTGATGAAAAGCGAATAAGGACTAAATATAGTAATCCGTAAGGATAATCCGGTGAAACAAACATACACTAAATTATTGGATTAAGCCACCAGCCCACGCTTGGGACTCAAAACAATCAAACAAAAATTTATAAAAAGTCACTTTATCAACTCACACTACTGTGATAACAGTACAATACGATACGAATTCAACTTACAGTGTCTAATCCACATATATAGGCATCACACTCATTAAACTACTGTGGAAGGCCTAAGTATTGTAAACTTTTGCAAGTTGTGAAGTGTTTTGTTGTGTGTGTGTGTTTGTGTTAATTATAACACTCCTTGAATTGTTTAATTTTGTACTCTCCTATTTGTTTGCCTTTTGGGTTTGCTTTCGTTTAAGTGGCATAATATTTCAATACTCTGCACACTTCGCTGGGCCTTTGGATTTGTTGTATAAGTATAACACTCCTTGAATTGTTTAGGGCTTGTTTGGTATCCGATTTAAATTTTTTGATAATTTCTCAAAACATTTCTTAAGAATTTTTCTTGAAAACAATTTTCTTTAAGACTCAAAAACTTGTTTGGTTTGCGATTTAAAAATTCTAAATCTTACAACTTAAACTGGACAAAGAGATCCAAAAAGATGGGGTTTGAGAGAGAAAGAGGATAGAGGAGGAAAGAAAGTAAGAGATAATTGGAGGAAAGAGAAAGAAGTGAGAGGATCGGAGGAGATAGAGAGGAAAAGGAGCGAGAAAAAGAACCGAGAGAATGAAGAGAGCGGATTGAAGGAGAGACGAAAAAGGTAAAAAAGGAAAGAAAAGGGTGAGAGAGAGAGAGATATAGATTTGGAGTGAGGGGAGAAGGGAGAGAAAAGAAATGAGTGAGTTTAAGTTTAAAAACTCTAAAAACTTACTTTTTTTGTTTTTTGAGAATATGTTATATTTTTGAGTTAGTTTTGAGTTCAGTTTTTAAAAATAATCATACCAAATAAGTTTTTAAGGCCTAAAGCTTGAAAATTGTTTTTGAGTTTAAAAAATTGGATTCAAATAGAGTACCAAACATGCTCTTAATTTCTTTGACAACTATTTGATTGAATTATATGTAGAAAATTTATGGATTTAGTGAAATACCACAATTTTCGTAAGAATTGGCCACTGAACCCAAAACAAACGGAGTAAAATGACGGAGGAGGACTAGAGTGCGACAATGACCATACCGGAGGGCTACAAAATTTAACCTCAACTGAGGAATCAGAGTATTTTAGGGAACACGGTTATATTTAACCCTGTTCTTTTGCTTGTTTTGTTTTTTTATAAACATCTGTGTCTAAACTGTGAAGTTCTTCATGAAAATTATGTGAAAAACGAATACCAGAATTGATGAGTTTGTCATAAGATCTGGTCTGCCGTCTGCACTATCAAAATTCTAGCAAGAAGCTTGGATTGATTTAGCATGGACGTAACTTTGTCCCATGTTTGGTGTAACTTTGGAGTAGGTGGAGGATAGCACTAAATAATCATTTAAATTTGATGAAAAGCGGATAAGGACTAAAAGCGGATAAGGATAATCCGGTGAAACAAACGTACACTAAATTCTTGGATTAAGCCACCATCCCACGCTTGGGACTCAAAACAATCAAACAAAAATTTATATCAAATAAACTGGTCCCGGGTTTAAACTTTAAACATTTCCCTTTCTTCTTAGCTTAACCTAGTAATATCGCTATAAAATAACCAACTAAAATGAATGATGAGAACAAGTTGTTCTAGACATTGCCTTGTACTCTCTATTACATGGAAATTTAAAATAAGACATCCTGAAAAGACTTGAAATGTGAAATTGAATTGAAAGATTACAAAGCTAGTGATCCTATATAGCACAGACTACCTTGTTGTAAGCTAAATTTTCTGGTTGTTGCAATGAGGCTTATTTTGCAGACGCTCTTTCTTCAGTGCCATGAATTTAGCTGCTATATCATCATAGTCAGGCAGCTTAGGGTGGACATGAGTAGGATACTGGAAGGCGTCGGAATAAGATCGTCGGAAGTCATCTTTGTGATTGTCCTTAGCTCTTTCGGGCGGCATTGTCACGGCTCTGGAATAAGGAGGTACTGTCTCTTTTCTTGCACTCCAAGAATTAGTCACATGTGGAGATGTGGAACTATATGAGGCACGCCTGCATCGAAAATTCGATTCCTCCACTCTTCCTTTGAGCACTATGTTTTGCATAGTGGGATGCTGATGATCCGGATACGTGAAAACGTTATACATCATAGCTTCATTGCCATAACTCTTCCTCCTCATTGGCTCTGGACGCACTGCAGGCCATTCGATTCCCCTGTTCAATTGTCCATGTCCATAAGTTGGAAATCCAACCCTAGCTGTAATCCCTCTCTTTTGCTTCCACGGTTGAACTTCACAAGAAATATTTTCGTCGTTCCGGGTGCAAACATAACATGGATTTCCCAGGCTGCAGCCACAGCTTAATCCCTTAGTATCAAATCCACAATTGCTTTGATTTTTCAGATGCTTTCTGCCATAGTAATTTAGATATTCATTATCCTTAAAGCATTGATTTTCCTGAGAAATCGATCTCTTCCTCGGTCTTTTCCCACTTCCCTTCCAACTTGATCTCCTTGGGCTTTTTGACTCGCAATTCTCACTCCAAGTCTCATAACATTCCACATAAGTGAGATCATAATTGCTTTCAAGATTCTCCCTCTTCGGTGCGATACCTTTGAACTTGAAGAGTCTTTGGTCCTGGGAGTCTGCATCTCTTGTTGTAGAAAACTGAACCTCTTCTATGTCATCAAGGTAAATCACAATATCTCCATCTCTTGTTCTAGCGTGACTTGTGCTACCAGAAGTACTGCTCCGACTTTCTTCAGTGCCCGGAGTTGATATATTTGGAGAACCAACTTCAGAAAAATTCCCTTCAATTAGTGGCATAACTAATGAAGAACTAGCAGAAGTTCTATGTACATTAGAATCAGCATCTACGGCTTCTCTTTCCATTTCCTCGACATTTAAAACTTGCATTCTAGATGTTTTGGTTCGTCCATAATAATCTGCATCCAGTACTTGATGTCCACTAATTTCCTTCACCTAATATGCATTGAACAAAAGGACTAATATTTTAATTTCAAGTATGATAAAAGACATGGAGTACTGGGAGCTAACAGATATGCACAAAACCAAGCACAGTGACGTTCTAGGATTCAAACAGCCAACTCCACTTAGTGGGATAAGGCTTTGTTGTTGTTGTTTATAAAAGATATATAATAGCATAAATGTTCTAGACATATTTATTGAAGTATGTAATGAGTAACTACCTTTTGTTGCCATTCTGAATGGTACTCAATAGCTAAAACCTGTGGTTTGATGCAGTAATTTCTTGCTATTTCACTGACCAATATATGCTTCATATCATCTGTTACTGACTTTTGGGAGAGTTTCTCTATTACCTGTAGTTTGGATTTTGTTAGTTCACACTCATGTATAACTTCCAATAACCTTATGAGATCAACAGAAACACCCCTTAAAAAATTTGTTGCAAAATCGTAATACTTGACATCGTACCTCACGGCTCACAAGATTCCCAGGGAGTAGTTCAAGAGCACTCATTGTGAATTTCTGCCCGTAACGTTCTCCGAATAGCTTCCTGATCCCCCTAAGCTCAGGCAGATCCCCACATCTAGCAGAAGCATAAATAAGACTTGAAACTGCTTCATTTATGTCATTTGGGCAGTCCCTGAAAAACCACCAAATTGCAGCACAAACAGAATTACTTAAGATCAAATGAGGAAAACAAAAAAAACTTGGGAACAAAATAGAAAAAATTCAGATCAAGGCATACTTGTGTCTGCGGATGTAAGGAAGGTGGATGAGGATGAATTCACAGAAATTGTCCAACACTTCAAACAATGCCACTACGGATTCGTCTTTGATTATCTGCTCAACCTGAAAAATAAAATGGCCCAAAGTTCAAAAAGTGTTGATAGTAGTTTGATACTCAAATTGTTCTTGGTAGCACTTTGGTTTAACCGCACCACTTTTGTCACCCAAAAGTGCTTTGGGGGAAGCTCAATATCCCAAATCAGAAAACATAAAATTGGATTTAGTATGGCAAACGCAAAAAAAATTAGAGAATTAAAATCAACGAGAAAAAAAGGTCAAAAAAAATAAAAAAATAAAAAAACCCCAGAGGCACACAGAATTGTTGGCAGCACAATAATATTAAGAAATTGCAACGAACACATGCTTTCTGGTGGTTGTACTTTTAAGTTTTAACTACTCAACTTTCTCAACCAAAAGTTGAGAAATGTGAACAGACCCAGGTGCCAAATTAGTTCAACCAACTATATGTACTACGAAATAATTAATTAACTAGAATATTCATGACGAATTAAAATTAGAAAAGCAGAGAAGATGTCACGGGATTTCTACTGTTACATTCATACCCTGTTGAAGGCTTTGTCTTCGTGACCGTGTTTGATCAGCTCCGCCACGTCTTGACGTAGTTGCCTAACAATTGCTTGCCTCTTGTTTTTCAGCAACTTGAGCCGGCAGTGCACCTCTTTGATCAGCCTCTTGCTGCAACCCAAAAAACAAGCACACACATAACAAAACAATACAATGAGTTTGGTTTTATAAAAGATAAAGCTATGATACATTTCCAACAAAAGAAACAGCTTCAAAGATTGCATTGAATTAAGTTACCACTTCGAAGCCTTTCGCCACCCGAATAAGATGTCGAACATGTCTACAGTTGCGGAATAAATTTTGGGTTGTTTTGAAGGTGAAAGAACAAAAAATGGTAGCAAGGAAAACCAGCATCATTTGCAGCTGAAGCTTTGAGGAATATGGGAAAGAGAGAAAATGTGAAGGAGAGAAGTTGAAGACTAGTAACCACCATATGACAGTTGGGTTGATCACTTCATATTTAGGAGTGGGTTTGAAAAGGTTTAGAGAGAGAAAGAGAGTGGGAGAGAGGAGAGAGAGATTGTGGAGCCACGAGACAGTTGTTGGTCTCCTTGAAAAACTGCTCCCGCTACTACAAGTCGTTTGGGACACTTGTGAGGCCACTCTGGAAACCCTCGTTAATAGAGATTAGAGCAACAGGACATGGGGTTGTTTTTTTTTTTTTTTGCGAAGGTCCGGTTCTACATATAATTTGATAATTGTGTTGAAAAGGAAAAAGGCTCATTCTTTATCATTGAAGAGATAATCTGGGAAAAGAAGATTGGATAATGATGATATTTGATGACTCCAGGAGGAGACAATGAAGAAATTGTTGATCAAGCCAAATCATAAATATCTCTAAAAGTTCATCAGAATGAAGTCAGCCGGCTCCTAAAACCCAGAAGTACGTGGTCATGAATCAATTAGATAGTGGAAAAATCACAAAAACACAAGAGCTATATAAACACGGGATAAAAAAACGAATCGGACGAAAACTGGTAACAGAAACTTTGGTAGCAGAAAGTTTATATAGGCATCAAGATTCCTAATTTTAGATGATGTTGAAATTATTGTGTAATGAAATTGTGCTCTTTTGAGTGGTAGGTGTTTAATGACTCTCCAATAAAATAGAATATCGTTAGAAAAAAATTAAAACATAGAAATAAAATGACACAAGTGTGAGTTTTTCTTTTTCTTTTCTGAAAGAACAAGAGAAATCCTGTAATCACGAATAAAAAGTACAATGGGAATACGTATTACTCATAAACATTGTTGAGCCGAAAAGATTGGTATGGTTGGTGTAGTTTGTGCATATCAACTGACCTTTGTAATTTGTATAAGTTGGACGTTATTGTACTTTGCACACAACCTTAACACACACGCATTGACATTGGACCCCATCTGCTCATTCCCCTCCTTGTCGGATAAAGGTGAAAAAGAAAAATAATATGCAAACACAGAAGCTGCTTCACCAAAACAAATGCACAAAATGGCTGCGTGGTTGGTTGTTTTCTAGGAATAGGTAATCAAACCCACCTCTGTGTCTCTCTCTAAACTAGTAATTTATGTGTAAATATTGAGCTGGTGACCAACTGATGCCACAGGGGTATGCTGCATACATGAGACATGGCATGCAATAAACTGCAGGGTTGAGTGTGGGGAGCAAGCATGGCGTGGCGGATAAAGGCAAAGCTCCAATGATGAACGATGATGCTCAATTTATAAGAAAACCAAAAAGGTGGCTTGCTGACTCTCACAACATTCTTTTATAGGGCTTATTGTTTTGCTAATCATTAGTGCACACCGCGCGGTGGCACAACACCCAATAGGATCCTCTTCGGATCTTTTTTATGAGGATCTTGGAGATTCATAAATTATGTCTATTCATCGTATATTGTGTGGTCAATTTTTATCAAATACTGTTTGTATTTAATTTTAAATAAAAATATTTAAAATAATTTCTCACCGTACAATGTACGATGAACGAATATGATTCATAGATTCTCAAAATCCTCACAAAGAAGATCCGGCTAGGATCCGAATTTGCACAACACAACTGGAAAAGGATTCTCTCCTGAGCATATGCTCAGGATCCTGCTGAGCAGGACACGAGGACCGTTGGATGAAAATCCAACGGTTACAATTATTATAACTTTAAAGGGATCCACCTTTTTATAGCCGTTGGATTTTCATCCAACAATCCTCGTGTCCTGCTCAGCAGGATCCTGAGCATATGCTCAGCAGAGAATCCTTTTCCAACACAACTATCATCCATTCCGTGGAGGGCCTTGTTAAATATTATAAAGAATTTTACTCGAGAAATGGATAAAATATAATTTAGTGCTAACTACATTTACACTCTTTGCATCTGATATTTTAAAATTATATCAATTTATAATTTTTATATATTTATATATATATTTTTTGAACAAACGATATTACTTATACTAAGGAGTTGAGGGATGGGTTAAGCCTTACAATCGGTTTGCAATAATGTGGTTCAAATTCGCCTTTAGCAAGAATCGAACTTAAGACCTCTCACTTGCAAGTGGAGAGGAATACCACTAGACCGTAGTACTAAGTGACACAACTTTTGTATATTTGAACGTATAATTATCCATTAAATTGATGAGTTTTTTGCGTTATATGGTGTAAATGTGGCTTACATGTCATACTAGTTACGGGTATCATGTTAACCATGTCATCAATTTAGTGAATATTGAAACCTCATGGCCAAATTTAAAAATCATCTCAAACTTGTGTAAAATGTAGTTAGCTCTATAATTTAATATATAAAATGAACTTATACTGTCATCAATATTTTTTTGTGATAGTGTGATAAAGCCCCCAGGCCATGTTGCGCTGGTGATAACGATCTTCTGGTTTATAAGGCAAACAATAATACATTTACAATAACCAAAAATAAGCAATTAGAAAAGACTTGAAGATGGACTCAAAATAACATTAAAAAAAAGGCTAAGAAGATGCTCCTACGTATTACTATTACAGTTGTACGCACTTTCAAGAGTTCAAATAACGAGGAAGCTCCCGGTCGAAAACAGTGACGGTTGACCGGCATTTGCGTCGATAGTTTACAGGTTGATATAAAACAATTGTCGTTCTATTTTATTAAATAGATAATCAGATAAAAACCTTTTAATAACACTCAAATTTTTCGAACAAAAACACACACGTAGAGAAAAGTTCTGTTAAATCGGGCCCAATACGTGTGTTTTTTGAAAGCCCAGTCATCCAATACCTGAAGCTAGAGAGCTAGCGTATTTTCGAAATCTCGACGTAAGGAAGCAAATTTGAAACCAGTAAATTAGGACGTATCGAATGAATAATCTGTTTTGATGTAATTATAAACTTTTAGGCCCACCGCCAACATCAACGATATTGGAGGTGGAGAAGGCGGTGGAGAGGGCAGGCCGTCGAGAGAATTAAACCAGAACAAAAACCAGCAATCCTTGTCACATTAGCAAGGCGGTGGAGAAGGCAGGCCGTCGAGAGAATAAACACGAGGGGTGTTGGAGTATGATGACTCAAGTGTAGCGAGGCCACGCAATCAGTACTTGGTTCGCTTCCCTGGGAAACCAAGCCAACGAAGATAAGAACAGGAAGCTTTATAATTCACCCAGTTGGAACAATGTCAATGCCCACAAGCGGAGCCAATAGATTTGTACCTTATCCCTTTTAAAAAAAAAATTTGACCCCTTTATCCCTTCCAATTTTCCAATCCTGCCCTCCCCTTTCTCACGCTATCAGTCTCGCCACTTTTCTCAGAACCCAGTCCACACCAGATCTGAAAGAAGCCATCCTTCCTTCCAGCGATCTCTCTTGTTCTCCAGGTCGCGTTCTCTCGGCTCGACGTCCTTCCTCTGGTAAGCTTCTCTTGTCTAAAATTTCATTATTTATTTGTTTGGGTTTTTAAATTTGGGGAGGGGAGAATCTGAGTGAAAGAGGGGTGGGAAGAGCAAAGGGATGAGGTTTGCAGTGAGTGCAAAAGCTGAGGCTCACAGGTGGGCCTACTGGGTGCCTCGCCGAGGAACCGGAGGTCGCGGAGGTGGTCGGAGAATGAGACTTGAGAAGAGAAAGTCTTGGGCTTGGTGGAGGAGGTTGTGAAGCCAAGAAAAAGGCGGTCCAAGAAGGAAAAGCTGGACTTGGTTCTCAGTTTGCCATCCCCAAGTACATTATCAAGTAAGTCCCAATTGGAAATTGCTCTCTTTTCTTTTTTTCGTTCTTTGGTCTTTACATGTTTCTCAGGTTCTTGTGTTTTCGCTGTTTGGTTTTGCAGTCAATGATGAGTATCAGGGTAATCTTGATCGAATCGGGCAGCTCATGACTGATCTGATTATGTGGAGAGATGTTGAAAGGTCGAGCATTTGGTTTGGTTTAGGGTCGCTCTTCTTCCTTTCCTCTTGCTTTGCCAAAGGAATCAACTTTAGGTGACTACTAGTCTACTGCTACTCTCATTCACTTTTCCCACATTTTCCCTATTTTAATTTTAGCTTATAAAAAAACATCTGATCTTAACCAATTCAATCATTTCATCATTTTCTCAAGATTTCCCAAATCGGACTTTTGATTTTGGGTGCTTCATTTGTCTCCAATTCAATCTATCAAAGGTCCTTGTTGTTTCCCTTTCGGCCACTATTTTCTTTGTTTCAGGGGGGCTTCATTTGTATCCAATGCTCATTCTTTTATTTCAGCTTAATTCAGGAGAGCCATCCATGACCCTCAAGGTAATGGCAAACAAAACATTAAGGCAGCGTTTGAATTCGAAGTTGCTTGCTTTGGGTGATTAGTAATGGAAGCTCAACTTTTCTGAGTTACAGGTAGCTCCGTTCTTTCTTATGGGAGTAGAGTGTGGGCATCTTATAACATTTTGGAGGCTATGTATGCTTGGTATGCCCAACTTCTAATCAGCCGACTCTGTTGTTGATTATTTTCCGTTGCTTTACTTGTTTCGTGTTATAATGATGATCATGGTGCTAACTCTTTGACCCCATTGTCTTAAATTTCTAGCTCTATACACAGTTAAATGCAGAAACTCTCTCGTTTCTCTCTCATCTCTCTTTCTGATATTTCATTTCTTCTTGCTATTTTGTTAAGAGCTCCAACTAGTACGAGCGCAAGCTCATAGTCTAGCTCTTTGACTTGTCAAACAGTTCTACACTCTAAACAGAAGAATATGCGAGTGCGAGTCTACCGTAAGAAGAGTTCGATTAATAATTAGTTATTCAATTTCTAAAAAATAAATACAGATCATGACTAATTTCTCTTCCAACAATTACAACAAAAACACCAGTAAATTAGCTAAGAGGTAACTGGATCTTATTAATCACTTCGTACAATGAACAAAATCAACCAAAGATAAACATCACACATATTACATCAAGAGGAAAAAAATACATAAAATTACATGGCACGAAGAATTTAAATTCAACGTTTCTTTTTTTTTGTCAAACTTTCCTGGTCCATAAGTATAAATCATGCACGAAGGAGGGGAAATTGCATCCACACAAATGAGGCTATTGGAAGAGTCGCAAGAAGAATAACTGGGATAACGATCCATGATTGTTTGTCAAGCATAAGGATAAGGGCAGAAGAGAAGGCCATCATCATAGCGGCGATAGAGAAAAAAAGGGTGAAAAGGCCTAGTATCATTTTTGTGGGTAAAGATACGAGGAAGTATTCTTCGGAATAACGCGATGTGAGCAACCCTAAAAATATCATTACTGAAGTTGTGGAAAAAAATAGCGATATAGAATCTGACATTATAAAAACCATGAACAACTTTTTACCCAAAAATGTGGGATAGCCTTTGTCTTGTGTGCTTCCTCCAGGAACTGTAAATGATGCAGCAAACATCATTGTAACAATTAAAGCACCTACAACTGTACAAGAAGTTGCAGTCGCTTTCATCGATTTCGCACCCTCCTCCACCAATTCTTTGTGGTTCTTGGTAAATAATGCTCGAGCTGTCATGCGATCAGTATAATTTATCAATCCAGGGACAATGATAGGTACAATGCTCTCCACCTCCTACATTTCAATAAATAAAAACTTACCAACTACAACCATTTAAGAGGTACATGGAAGTTAGTAGAAATAAAACCAGGCATCTTAGGATTTTTTTTTTTTTCCTATTTTTGACCTTTTCTCATTTTGCTGCTAGCAAGTAAAAGTTTAGTAGTTTATTGAAGCGCATGTCTGAACAACTGTCTCATAAAACTACTGAAAAGCATGCGCAATAGCGATAGTTGCGACGGCCAAACGATGTTTCATGGCTTGTGTCGCTATCAAAGCCATGGGTTACTGTAGATCAGGGGTGTCCAGTGACCAAGCAAAGAAATTATCATATTTGGGGAGCCCTAAGTCAGAAACCGTAACCCATCGTAAAAGGTCAGATGATTTTCACAGCCTAGGTTCTGTTAGCCTAGAGGCTAATCCTCCACCCCCTCTCCTTTTTTTTTTTTTTTTTTTTAACAATCGATATTATCTACACTAAGGACCATCTCCTCCCCTCTTAGTGTAAATAATATTGTTTGTTAAAAAAAAATATTGGCATGATTTAAATTGTAGGGATTCTAGGAGATCTTTCGAGAGTCCCTATTTTAGTAGGAAAAAGATTATGTATATTTCTTTCATTATAAAATTAGGTTTTGTATATGTAAATATTGTAACCGTGTGTTTTAGTGAAAATATAGAGTTTTGGGTTATATAATACAATTCTACTCTAAGGCCCCGTTTGGGATTGAGGTGATTTTAAAAAAAGCCACTGTGAAAAAAAGCTGAGGGTCATTTTTGTGTTTGGTAAACTGAAAAAAAATGGCTTATTTTGGAAGCTGCTGTGAGAATAAGCTGAAAATCAAAGGAAAAGCTGAAGCTGCTATTTGTTGCTTTGAAAAAAAGCCAGTTTTTTCAAAGCACACGGAGCTACAGTGCTCCTTTAATGAAAAGACACACTATCATCCTACTTTTTTTTCCAAAAGCACTTTCACAAAAAAGTTTACCAAACACTCTACTGGCTTTATTTCACAGCCGCTTATTCTCACAGCACAGCCGCTTATTCTCACAGCACAGCCGCTTATTCTCACAGCAGTTTTTTTTCAAAGCACAGCAATACCAAACCAGCCCTAAACCCTACAAAAAAAAAGCCCTAAAAATATGCGAAGCTTTGTGTTTTCAAACATATTTTATTTTATAATTATATCCTACAGATCACCTACCATTAATTCCAATAAAAATCTAAAAGATGTGAAATTATCCATCATTGTTATTGACTTTTGAGCTATTTACTTCCATGTTTAACAATAATAAAATATAACGTCAACATTCAGCTAAATTACAAAAACTATATAGTTACACTATAATCATCAAAGTTTATAGTGCAGTCTTACATAATAATTGTAAGGTTATAGTTATTAACACAATATCATTTATTATTGTAACAAAGTTGGTTTTTCTGTTTTATTACATTGTCAAGGTAGGATCTTATGTGTGAACATAATTGCATTAATTATAAAATCATCGTTTCTATTAAGGGATATTGATGATACCCTTGTTTTAATGGGTACCCTAACTAACCTGTAAATATTGTAAAATAGCATACAAATTTCACTAAGAGATTAGATGTCTTACTTCCAACGTTACATCTTGCAAACCGGCATGTTCCACTACTATTAATGTGGTTCTTTTTGTACACACAAACTTCATTAAGGATAACTAAGTCAAAAAAAAAAAAAAATCTCTATTAAGTAATAACCCCCCTATAGCTATAAAATTGTTTTGGTCCCAAACACTAAACACTATGACTATATAGAGGTTTTATTGTATTTATACATGTTTTATATAATTAGAAAAAAAAAACTTATGATTGGTCTATGGCTCTTTTTGAGGACATTTTGTGTTAATTTTGAGTTTGATGCTCATCACATTCTAATCGTCCTCCCTTAGGCTTGTAAAGTAGAACCGAAGTTGTACATGTAGGCTATGGACAATTCATTATGCCCATGTATAATGAATTTAACAATAGCTATTCTCTCTTAATACTATAATAGAAGATGCAGTTTTCTCTGCTTTTCAGTTTAAAGTATTTATGTGTTATATCAAAAGTAATTAGACCGCTAGCTTCACTCGCTGTCAGTTGGTATTGGGTTAGACTTGTTAGCTGGCAAGTAGAGCCATGGCCATATATACATGTTGGGTGAGAATAATTTATCTCATGCATATGCAGTGAGAAATTAAGACTAACCTTGAACCATTGCAGTTCGCTTTGCATTTGCAGCGCTGCACCCTGAATATGATTAAGGTTCCCAGATAGATTCGCCGCTGAATGTAGAATACTATTACAACTCAAAGCCCAAGTTCTATCACTTTCCCTCAGCATCCCATACAGAAGGTTATAAATTTTTGCTTGACGACATTCCACGGCATATTCCAACACTGCTTTGCCTTTTCCATCTTGTATCTCAAGGCCTGGATTAGCCTCAAATAGATGATCAATGAACTCAACTAGTCCTTGTTCCATAGCTCGGAAGATTGCTGTTTGCAGGAACGAATATTGCTTCGCCGTCACACACGTAATGTGTCTACTCATTAAACATAAAAATTCTCGGGTTCGGTCATGGACCAATTTCATTTCATACATACGCTTGACACCTAGGTTAAAAATGGAAACAGCAAGCAAAGTATGAAAAGAATAAGAATTAAAATGTAAAAATAATATCAACAATGTAGATGTAGCATACCCAAAAGTTTAAGGAGATTCTTAGCAAGTCCTCGAAATAAACCCACATCTGCATTGCAAATTAGTACAAATATATGTTGGTAAAAATTTATACAAGGGTATGTTAATTAGATGACAATACATCTGTAACTTTTGCAAGGCGCTTAAAAAGTGCTTTCCAATCAAACAATAGTACTTCAAGTGTTAAAAGCTTCTACTCATGCATAATTTGCCTTCTCCTATTTTCTCTAGAATAAACAAATAAAAATAACAACCGCAATTTTATTTTAGAATATTTTGTTTTCCTCGATACCAATTAGTGGCATGTAGATTGTCATATACAAAACAGATGACCGAGCGGACTGAAAATGAAATGGATCAAAAAATGATAAAAGGATGCAACAGGAATTTACAGATTTGGTTTGAGCTTCGTTTTGGACGCATACACTTCATGAAAAGAGTGCTACGTCTTGGTTCACTGTGAAGTATGTTAGATTTTAAAGTTTGTAATTAAAATCAAACCTTTAGTGTTCCGTCCGATTTATGTCAATTTATTTCCCTATGACCCGTGAACTTCCCTTGGGTTGGGTTTTAAGTCTATTTAAGCCTTTTGGCTTCTGATCATTCAAGAATTACCCAAATAAACCTTTAGGTTTTCTCTCAAAATTTGATGGATTTCAGAACATTGTTTTTTCAGGGGTTACATTTGTATCCCTTGTTTGCTTGTGCTGCATGACCGTCTAAACTGGCTATCATTCGAGATATACTAAGCAAGGAGTACACATAAAACAAAAAATAATGCTATTTTTCGCATTATCTTTCGAGAATATGAACCTCCTGCGTCCTTTACTAGTTGTTTATAACTACTATAGGTTTCTTCAATACATGAATGTTTTATATATATGACTGATGCGTCATGGCAACTGTCTATGAATGCTTTTATTTCAATGTAAAAAATAAAATAAAAAACCCTCTAATTATTGACCATTTCTTACACACTTCTAATAGATCTGAAGCGCATTTATATATGTAGTATCCACGTATTAGAATTGATCAAGAGTCCAAATTACATGCAAAGCAAATGGCATTTCCGACACCGACAGGCAACGTACCTGAGTAAATTAGACCCGCTTGATCACCAGGTCATCTTGTAAAAGATCATTGGTGGGGGTAGATGTTTCGACCGCAGTAGGTTTTACTTGTATCACTGTAGAGATAAGAACATAACAACATAAATGGTTTCCACATGAAGTATGCTAGTATGCTCGTAACTTGAGGGGAGAGAGAGAGAGAGAGAGAGAGAGAGAGAGAGAGAGAGAGAGAGAGAGAGAGTAGTTCTAACACTTATAGATCCATCGTTCCCAGAAATTGAGTCTTACGCCACATAAGAACGCAGAATGTGCACCAGCTAATGCATTTAAAGGGGTATGCCCGAAGTATGTCAATAGTAAGGGTCAAGCTTGGGTAACTTTGAATCAAAATCCATGCAATATCTAGTGTGTGTATATGAAGATAACAGGGTGAGAGGATAATAACTATTAACATAAAAGTGTATTGATAAAAAAAAGAGTACCGATATGATGATTACATTTTTAATTACAAGTGATACTTATTATATAATTAATGACACAATTATGGGCTGGTTTGGTATTGCTGTGCTTTGAAAAAAAAACTTCTTCTGCTGTGCTATGAGAATAAGCTCATTTTTGCTGCTTCACGTTTTCAGTTTTTTTTCACCGAAAACTGTGAAAAAAAGCTGTTTTTAAGTGTTTACCAAACACCTTTTTGAGCTCAACTTTTTTTTATACCTATTTTTTTTTAAATCACCTCAGTACCAAACCAGTACTATATATCATGGTGTATATAACTGCAGTAAACACTTAGGTGAAATTTGAGAAGGAAAAACTTAACTTTAGAAAGAAAAACCTAACGATAAATTTATAAGGGTACTGCTAGGCAGACCAAAATTTTAAATCAAATTTACAAACTAAATGATATACCACCTATAAAAAATAAGCATGTTAATCAAAATTTAAGTAATAATCCAATCATCTACATCCACATATTAGACTTACAAAATTTGGTTTAGAAATTTGGTCTCCCTAGCATTAACCAATTTATAGTGTTTGTATGAGACTGGAATTATTTTGAGCTTGTTGAAAAGTCAAAATGGGTGTTTTTATTAGCTAGGAGGTGAGAGATTTTAGATTAAATTACATAATGGGCTTGCCATAATAACTTAGTATCAAACTTATCATTTATTCATTAAAACTCTAGTAATGGGTGGGAAAAATAAATTAGTAGACTTGGAAACAGAAAGATCATGAAATTACAAACAAAAAAATTGGAGTATAAATATTACCATTTAAATAGATCAAGGGACTAAACTCAATTTTAAATATTGTACGGCATTAATCTAAACTTCATGTTAATTAAGGATTAAAACCTAGTTTTTTTATAAATTTATGTACGTACCAAATGATTGGGCATAGAAACAACTGGAAATAAGTTCAGCGCCGTCACGGCCTTCATTGGGTCCACATGTTAGTTCTTCGGGAGGAGTGACTTTATAAAGCTTGCGAGCGATTTCATTGAAGCCCAGTGAAAAAGCATAGAGAACAGGAGTCATGTTGTCGGGAGGAATTCGCATGGCCGCTATATTCTTGTTCATTTCAATCATGTTTTCAACTATTTCGATACTTCCTTGATTTATAGCATAAATCAGAGGTGTGCAACCATGTTGATCTGTTATCGCCAAATCTTCTTCTCTCATCCATTGCAGCAGCTCTTTCACTATATCAAACCGCTTAAACAAAATTGCACTGTGAATAATCGTCCCTCCATCCTTAGAATATACTTTTCCGATTGCCTCAGGATTTTGGTCAAGAAACGCCTTTGCAGCTTTCCAATCACCGCGCCACACATCACTGAACAAAGGTCCAAGGTAGGAGTCGTCAACGCCATGTCTTGTTTTATCTAACAGAGGATGGAAAATAAAATTAATAATATTTTTTTCTCAATAGTAAGTTTCGATTTTTGATAATTATAGGAGCATTAGAGTCATATATAATTCATACCATCAGTCGGGGATTTTAATTCCACCGGAGTCCCAATTACTATCGACCGCAATGACGTCAACTTCTTCATACTACGCTGGCTCCCACCTACATCTTCACCTTTGGATGATCCATTGCCTGAAAATTGAAGGATAAGATATCCATACAATACTATATGACCCAATAAACTACTCTACATGTGTAAAAAATTATGCAACCAAACTTGCGTTTGTTCCGTGGGTGGCATCTCTTAATGGGGTGTGATATCCACACACCCCTTTTTACTTCTTACGCACCTTTTTAATTTTCGGCCGTCTGATTGGATGAATTGAAGAAGATCAAAGGACAAAAATCAACAAAAGGTGTGTGAGAAGTAAAAAAATGTGTTTGGATAACACAACCCCTCTTAATTTGTCCACCCAGTAGTAGTCAACTTATTCTGTAAATAGAAACTATTCATTTTATCAATTTCCATGTAAACATCAAATCCAAAAAAATGAATTTTGTAAAAAAGAGTATACTTTTTCACGATGTTTTACTTGATGTCTTCATATGTTTCAACAGTTTCATATGTAATTAATCCTTTTTTTTTTTTAAAGATCCATGAGTTATAATATGAATGAACTATAGAATTAGATATATTCCTCTTTTTTCATTTTAAAATTATAATATCTTCAAATATATATTCACTCATATTATAACACCGACATGTTATACCACACAATCATATTCCAATATTACACAATAATTTCTAATTCAGAACTTTAAATTCATAAAGAAAGTTTTTTTTTTTCAAAAAAAAAACCCAGTTTCATCATATAAACCAAAAATACCGGAAAAAAAACTCAAATTACTGCTATTTGAGTGGGAGTAACCAGCTAGTATCCTGCAGGCGACCTGTATTTTGAGTTGTATAAATAAAATAAAAAATTGAACAAAAACACACGCACACAAAATATTTTGAGTTTAATTAGTTTTTATTTTTGGCTTCTTTCTTTAATTTAATATTTAGAACAAACTACCTTTGAAAAATCTCCGGTGTATTTCGAACTTGTCTAGCAAAATATCCCATGCGGATTTGGCCGAGGTGGCGTCACTGATAAAACTTAAAATGTCATCCCCGCAAGAAAGCTGGATCGCATGCAAAGCCTGGGCATTCCTCTGCTTCCAAACCTTATGTTTATCACTAGGACCAACTTCTGGATGTTCAGTTTGGACAACGTCCCAAAGATCTTTCGCTACCAAGTAGGTTTTAATTCGCATACTCCAAGGTGTATAATTATTTTGGTTAAGAACTTCAGGTCCAATTCCACAAGCCATGCTCAATCTGTTGATTTACCCAAATGTGATTTACCGATCAAACAAGAAATTAGTAGAAACTAATCAAAACAAAGTAGTGCTAAAACAAAAAACAAAAAAATCTCCAGAAAGCAGCAGCTTGTGAATTCCGGTAAATCAGCCTACAGTGGGCCGTGGCCAAGCTTTTGATTTACAGGCGAACAATAATACATTTACAAATAAAAAAAGGATATTTTGGTTGCGATCCCTAATCTTTAACATTCTTTGATTAAAACCTTAATAGTATTCAAAGTTTGATCAAGATCCCTTGACTTTGTACATCTCATTATATTACTATTACTATTTATATTTTTATAGTTTCGACATTAATTGTTTGATATTTTATGAGATTTATAATCTTATAAATTTAAAATCCCTAATTATAATACTATTCGAAACGGTTACAATAAAAAAATTCAAACATTAAATAAATGGATAAAAACTATGTAAAAAAAAAGAAATAATAAATGGCAAAAGAATATATCCATAGTGTTAAAAAAATTGGTACATTTTACAAAAAAATTGGTACATTTCACATATAACAAAGTGGTACATTAATAGAGAAGAATGGGTACATTAGAAATAAATTAGGGTACAGATAAAAGATTAAAAATTATGAATACAAATGAATTTTTAAAAATGTAGGCGCTAAAAGAAATTAATACATGGGTACAAAGTAAAACTAAAAAGAAAATACTACAAATTAAAAAAAAAAATGTTGCAAACTAAAAGTGGTGTTGATGCACAAAACCAGAGGTCTTGGAACAACGTAAATCCAACCGTGAATCTGCAAGTAATGTAAATAACACAAGATAAATCGTGGTTCACCCCAAGGTTTGGGCTACGTCCACACTGATTATGTATTTATGAGGGAGAGAGAACCTCTGTAATGTGAGAGGATGAGGGAGCTTAAGGCCTAAGAATTGGCCTCTTGGGGGTGAGAGTGAGACCTCCCCCAATTGTGAGAGTGAGGGGTCCTTTTATAAAATAAGGGCTCCTCACTTATTACATATTTTCCCCTTCCTTTATTACATAATTACATTTGAGTCCCCCCGAGTATTTATACGATATCTAAATACGGAAGCCCTAAGTATGGTATAAACAGTAGTCCCCCAAGTCTTCAGTCAAGAGAGTCTTTTGGCTAGAGACTTGAAATTCAGTCCATGTGTGGGCCGAAGTAACTAGATGTCGTCTAGAATTGATACTCGATATGAGGCGATGCCCAATCTGAAATGATGCTCAACCAGAAGTAGCACATGTTGCGAGGTTGCTCTGCTTGTGGCTTATGTTGCCTTGGTTGGCTCGGCTTGTGGCATTTGAAGGTGAGGGAGTCCCTTTTATAGAATAAAGGCTCGCTCCTCATTACAAAAATGATGGGTTAGAGTTGGTGCTCGCGGCGAGGCGGTTGCTCAGCTGGCGGCGATGCTTTCTAATGAAGGTGAGGAAGTCTCTTTTATAAAATAAGGGCTCGCTCCTCAGTACATCAATAATGGGCTAGAGTTGACACTCTCTAATGATGGTGAGGGAGTCCCTTTTATAGAATAAGGGCTCGCTCCTCAATACATAAATAATGGGTTAGAGTCCTCCAAGTATTTTTCATGAGGCCCAGTTGAGGCCCAATATATGGTGTATAGTGTAGTCCCCCAAGTCTTCGGTCAATAGAGTCTGTTGGCTGGAGACTTCAAATTGAATCCATGTATGGGCCGAAGTGGCGGTTGTTCGGATGCGGTATTTGTATACCCTGCACTGAAGCTTTGTAGGTGAAGCTTTGCAAGTGAAGCTTTGAAGTTGAAGCTCTGTAAATGAAGCTTTTGAAGCTAGAGCTTTTGTAAATGAAGTTTTTGAAGCTAGAGATCTGTAAATGAAGCTTTGGAAGCTAGAGCTTTTGTAAATGAAGCTTTTGAAGCTGGAGCTCTGTAAATGAAGCTTTTGAAGCTAGAGTTTTTGTAAATGAAGCTTTCGAAGCTAGAGCTCTGTAAATGAAGTTTTTGAAGCTGATTGACATGAGTGATGCTCATGAATGTTTATGTTGATTGACATGAGTGATGCTCATGGATGTTGACATGAGTGATGCTCTTGAATGTTGACATGAGTGATGGTCATGAATGTTTATGTATGATTGATATGAGTAATACTCATGAATGTTTATGTATGATTGACATGAGTAATGCTCATGTATAATTTGAAGTACTGAGCGTACTTTTGATCACCTGATTGGTGATAATAGCGGCAGACTGTTGAATAATTTTGGAGTACTAGACATACTTTTGATCACCTGGTTGGTGATAATAGCGGCAGGCTACCTGAATAAATTTGGAGTACTGGGCGTACTTTTGATCACCTAGTTGGTGATAAGGGTGGCAAGTTGACGGATAATTTTGGTGCCATAAGGCCTAGCTCTTTTGGGCATATGGGCCTTGGCCCTCCACATAACATTCCAGCCCATTATTTTGGGCTTGACGTTTTTTTTTTTTTACCCTCTGATGAGGTTTATACAGATGTCTCCGAAAAATAAATCACATCATTAAAAAACAAGAAAAGTAAATCACATCATTTTGGTGGGGTGTTTATTCTTTGCTTTTGCTTTCTCTTTTCTTTTCTGTTTTTTCTTTTGCTTTCGGCCTAATTGCTGCTGGGACCTTGTAGTGGGATGGCAAACAGCTTGGCATCATTAGATGTCTGAATTCCTTTATCATCGTGGTCGCTGGGCCACTTTCCAGCTGTGTGTTTAAAGGAACCTGCTTTACCTTCACTGCTTTTCCAGTCATATGTCACCAGCGGTGGAGCCATGGACGTGGAACAGGGACTGTCGCGGAGAAAAGATCGCACTTTCCATTTGGTGGAGGTATTTGGTCCTAATCTCCATCTCCTGGAACTTGCCTAGAAATTGGCTCCTCTGAATCCACAGTATTTTCGGGAAAATGGGTTTCTTTTCAGTTTCATACCTATTCTCTGAAAATAGAAGAATAGAAAAAAAACATTCATCCACACCGCTTATCAGAAGAACATAGACAACAATGGCATACACCGTTCTTAAAGACAACAATGGCATACACTGTTCTTTAAGATCTCACTGTTTTCTTTTCAGTTTCATCCAACACTTCAGCTGCATCTTTAACAAACCCACATCGAGAGTACAACCCCATAAGCGACGAACCCACAAATCCATTTGAACTACACCCAGACTTCAAAGCATCCCCATGAATCCCTCGTCCAAATCCCAAATCCCCCAACTCGATACTTTTCAAAGCAAAAGTAATGGTGTCGCTATCCAACCCGATATTCCACCTCCTTAAATATACGTACCGTTATCCAGAGAGACAGATAATCGGGGACGATGAAGGTGGGCTGTCTAGGCTTGGGCCTGGATTCGGGTAACCTGGCGCCGGCTGGATCGCGATCGCTGATTTCGTTGGCGAGTAGGTGTGGGCGTGGGAGAGGGCGAAGAGGAAGAAAAAGGCGGCGACGGTGAGGATGAGCTCTTCCGCTGATCTGGGAAATCGACGGTGGTGATGAATGAAGCCCCACGAGCTAAAAACAGGTCGTCAACGTGGAATAGAGCCACTGCGCTCGCCGGGGAGTTGATCAAACAGAGAACAGTCAACGCAGACAACATGGTCGACGAGGCCGGAAGCCTGTAGTCCTAGTACCAGAAGAGCCTCTCGCACGACGGGGTTGGCTGTGGCAGGTAAGGCTTCTGCATCCATTTTCCTGGCACCCTGGCTCTTTGGGAATCGGTATTCTGCTCTCTCTCGCACTAGACCCGACTCGACCCGCACCACCAACCATAAACTTGCATCTTACCTGCCCACCAGCCGCGTCACCATCTTGATATACTCTTACGGGCCAAATCTGTCGTAACCCGTATGAAGTCTTCAGCATTTTTTACTTTTGTGAGCTTCTAGAGAGAGAGAGAGAGAGAGAGAGAGAGAGAAAGAAAGAGAAAGATAGGTCATGGAGCTCTAAAGTGCAGCCATGGCTGCCATTTTCTCGTTGCTTGGCTCTGACTGTGACAGAAATGGATAATACAGAGAAGCAGTATCGTGTGAGAGGGAGATGCGATGCGAGGGTTTAGAGTGTATCTGAGTCTTCCTCTGTCCTTCTCTCTGTGTGTTTAGAGAGAGACGGAAGGGAGAGAGAGAGTATTTGGTTTCCTTGGTTTTTTTGCAGATTTTTCAGATTCACGGTGGATGTTAAGAAATGAAAGAGAACCGACATAGTTTTTTGTGTCGATTCCCACAAACGGCGCCAAATGTTGATGCACAAAACTGGAGGTCTTGGAACAACGTAAATCCGACCGTGAATCTGCAAGTAATGTAAATAACATAAGATGTATCGTGGTTCACGCCAAGGTTTGGGCTACGTCCACACTGATTATGTATTTATGAGGGAGAGAGAACCTCTCTAATGTGAGAGGGGATGTGAGAGGATGAGGGAGCTTAAAGCCTAAGAATTGGCCTCTTGGGGGTGAGAGTGAGACCTCCCCCAATTGTGAGGGTGAGGGGTCATTTTATAGAATAAGGGCTCCTCACTTATTACATATTTTCCCCTTCCTTTATTACATAATTACATTTGAGTCCCCTGAGTATTTATACGATATCTAAATACGGAGGCCATAAATATGGTATAAACATTATTAATAAGTGAAATCAACTAGTTAATGTTCTGCAGCTATGGAACAAAAACAGTATTAATAAAATAATTACAAATTAATTCAATTGGAGAAGGTATGGTTCGCCTTCTAAGTCTTGCTCTCCTAGGCCTAAAATCCATATTTTCTTGTCAATTTCTTCACATTCTAAACAAAAATGATAAGTTTTTGTCGACATTATAAACATAAATTTAATATGATATGAAAAGTGTAGAAGGATTGGACTATTTTATTTCTTTATTGTGTTAGGAGACATGCGATGATATTACTACTTATTTTATTTTATTTATTTTATCGGCATAAAATAAAATGATGCTATTATGAGATGTAG